TTTGCCTACATTGGAGCCCCGGGGTAAGAAGGGCAGGCTAGGTCAGCGGTCAGAGTTGAGTAGACTGGATTAGAAATCTACACTGCGGAATCTTGTGTTCGCGACAGGCCGGACAAGGAAACAGCTCTTTTTAGCAACACCGACCCCTGACAAAGTGTGTCCCTGGCTGTGATCCGTGCCGTCATCGGCGAACATGACCAGTACGAGGTTGCTCAGGCAGTTCACCGAGACATTGCGATCCGGGTTGTTGGCGAAGTGCTGCTTCGCTACTTTGCGCATGGATTCGTCCAAGCTGTCCAGGCTAAGCTCCTTCAAGCCAGCCTTCGTCTTGCCCCGCTTGGTGCTAGCCTTCTCGGAGCCTTCTGGACCCTCGACCACAGATGTGGCTACGGATGTGGCCGGCTCCACATCCTTGCGCTTGCGTGTCTTCTTTGTGGCTGTCCAGTTGCCCTGGTGGAACGTCTCCAAGAGGGCTTCAGCAGCCTGGTGCGAAGGGTCCGCCGGCTCCTCTGGCTGCTCGTCGCCGTCATCCGGCTCAGTCGCCATCGCTGCAGCCGTGGTGGCAAGGACTTCGCTCTCCATTCGATTCCCCTGCTCCACCAGCTCCGACAAAGTCTTCAGCGAGCCCTGTAGCTTCGGCCGGGCGTCGCTGCTTCTGGCTTGCAGATGCCGCTGCAAGTCTGCAGGCTGCTGAATGTTGAGCTGCGTCTCCGGAGTCACCCAAATCTCTCGGTTCTCCGAACTCACTTGATCAAAGTAGATCTTCACCCGGGGGCAGCTATCCTTGAACTCCTGGGGGAGCCCCTGCAGGCTGACCGGGAAGAGCTTTGTAGGCTGATTGGCACCCTGCCTGAGGTCGACGCTGTGCTGCTTCAAACCAAGCTGCAGCCCTGTTCTGCCGGTGTGGTTGACAAGCTCGGTGTCGCTCAGCAGTGCTGCCTTCACGTACACCATGTGCCCGCACTTGTCACTGCTGAACACTTCAGCCGAAGGGGTCAGCACAGGCAAAGGATTGTTCTCTGGGTCCGCGACATGCAAGCGGGCCTTCATGAAGCGGGCTTTCAGCTCGGGATCCTTCTTCAACATCTGACACAGAAGCTCAAAGTCAACGTGCGGCATCATGCGCTTGCCAGTGGTAATGCACCAGATGTCTCCTGGTCCCACCGGGATTCCTTGCTTCTTGACAAACGGCTCTGCCTGAACAGGGTGGCTAGTAGCTACCATGCACATAGGACCCGAGCCCAGGCGACTGTGCGGCGGGGGTGTGGCGGGGGTCTGGTGGGTACGTGGGCGAGAAGAAATGCCTGGAATGACTGGCATGGACTGCAGCTCTGACTGGCAGGCCAGCCTCCGATGTCTTCCCACATGCACCACATGTTAGGATAATTTGCTTGCCGGCAGCGGTAGAAGGACCAGCAGCTGCTGCCGCTTTCGTTCCTGCACCGTCCTTCTTGACTGGTACTTTCACCATGGCTGTCACCTGGCCAACAACGCACGCCCAAAATCTCACACACAACCTGTGATGATTGCGATGATGCCTGCGCACGTCACACATAGACACACTCACACACGCACACACGAACAGTCACGAACACACTCGCAAAGACCGCAAGGAGCAATGCTGCGTGCCTGGCTGGCTTTGCCTCCTTTGCTTTTGCCTTGGCGGCCCCCTTGTTTGCCAACTCCTTTGCCCATGTCGAGCTGGCCACACGGCGAGGTGGCTGCAAGGAAAACAAAGCGGACTGCACCTGCTGCTTCGCCGCTTCGCGTGAAGCTGGAACAAAAGGGCTGCGCGCAGCCGGACGGTAGTGCACCGGACAATGCTCAAGTCGACGCGGATTTGCAGGAATTGGAGGGGTAAGGGCTCTGGACCTGGGAGCATGCATTCCTGAATCGAAGACTGGTTTTCTCGGAGATCCTCTCAGCGAGTAGTCCCGCTGCGAGTGTGAAACCAAAACAAGACGTGCACGGCAGACTACCGCCGAGGCAGCAGCACGACGCCACACAGCCCCACCTCCGTTGTCTCCGCAGGAGACGCGTCACTGTGTATTTAGAAGTCAAAGTCAAAGACTATATATTATGTCTAATGGCTGTAGCATGCGGCAACCACCTAGAATGCATAAGGAATCACGAGGCACTCTGTAATGACGATCGCGCAGCCAACGGACGCGGCTCACTTCGGCCTGGCCGAGGCGACGCCAGCCGCTGGCACCGCTAGTGCTGCTGGTGGACAGCAGGCAACTCTGTCTACGGCAAGCCTTTTGTCAGGTATGCCGCCCACAGCACGGATGCGAAGCAGGGCAAGCAGAAGCCCTCTCCTGCCAGAGCCTTCACACTGTTGCATGGGACATTTGACGGGATGTGCAAGGACCGCCTGGGGCCCTGCAGGCGCAGAAGCTCCGACGGAAGAAGCACGCCGTCCCGAAAGAAACTGTACAGTCTGCTCGATGTCACCAAACAGCGGTTGTTGCCCTGGTCGTTGGTTCTCCACAAGTATGCAGGGTTCTGGGACAAGTCGGCGTAGACGTGTTTCAGCTTCTCCCGCATCTCTGTCCAAGTCAGCTGCTGGCAGGCCGCAACACCCAGGCGTTCTGCTACGACCAAGTCTAAAATTGCTTTCTCGCGATCTGTCAACGACAGGCCCGCGCCTGTCATGTGCGGAGACCATGGACGCAAGTCTCGCGGGATCCCGAGCTTGCCTCGAATCTCCGCGATCTGCGCAACCCATTTGTTACCGCAGTCTTGTGGCCGCCTCTGCTTCCGACTGCTCGAAGACACCTGCAGCACGCTGAGCTTCGTTCAAGGGCTGTGTGTCTTGTTGCTTTGGGATCCCCCTTCACGTTTCCATGTGG